ATTTTCAATAAATCACCAAGGCGAAGGAACGCTGTTCGGTGCAGTTATTATTATTATTATTAGAATTGTTCGAATGTATTGGTATATTGCAAATTTACCAATAGTTGTTAAAATATCTATTGGTATTTTCATACAATCGTCACTACAACAGCATAGTTGACACTTGTTTTGGCGCGATGGACCAAATGTCAACTGCGCTGCTGTAGTGACGCTTGTATGAAAATACCAATAGATATTTTAACAACTATTGGTAAATTTGCAATATACCAATACATTTTAACAATTATACTACTACTGTTTTGTGTGTGTGGGTTCATCATGAAAGTGTGAAAAGTCCTTTCTCGAGTACTTCTGCTATTAAATTAAAGAATATGTCGATGCGAAGGTTTGAACATATTTTTTGGTCTCGAACTTTACGCCGCTTGAAAGGCTTAAAAAATCGAACAAATATTAAATAAAATACTCAACTACCACCGTGCGGAAAAGTTCGTCTTACTCCCGTAAGACTCTTTATTATAGCTTAAACTTAGGCCTAAAATCGGAGAAAACCGGCCGAACGGTAACTTTTTGGTTTTTGGCCAATTTGGCCACCCCAATTTGAATCATTCGATAGCTCAGTGATATTTCCAACGATATGCATATGTCCGGGGTGTGTCAAGTGAATGTGCTTCAGTGATCGTGGGGACAAAATTGACATTTGGAGAGCGGCCAGAGCCAGCATGGCGGCCATATCGAAAATTGCCAGAACAAAAAAGTCTTAGTTTTTTATGTACTTTAATCCCAGAAAGTTTTAAAGAGGTACGCGAAAAAAGTGCACAGATACACACACAGACATTTTAATATTTCATAGAGATTTCATGGAGATTCATATGGACCATATTTTGAAGATCTATGGTCCAAGGGCTTTCCAACCATACACCAATCGCGGCTTCCGGGTTAGAATTTGGAAATTACGTGTATATATAGCAAGTTGACTTTTCAACACACTAATGTGGTTTCGTCACTCTCACGTACTGCCGTCCGCTGTGATGCCCATCGTGATTTAGATGATAAGGTATGCGAGATTTTTCATTCTGATTTCACCAGATGATACAGAAAATTGAGAAATATTTGTAAATCGAAGAAAAACAATTGAACAATTTTTTTCATTTTTCGCGATTTTTCATCATCCACAAAAGTTGAAATTTTTTCCATCTCACCCCGGATTACTTTTCCATATGGTGTGCAAATAACGTGTGTAAAGTTTCATGCCGATGAATGTGATATTTCATTATTTTCTGTCGTTTCAGTATTAAATTTATGATTTAAAACCAATTGAATGTCACTTTTGGTTCTTCATAAAATGATCCATTTTCTATTGCGAGTTGAAAACCTGCCTTCACCTCGGCAGAAATGCGCAAATTAGGCCAGAACACTTTCAAACCTAGTTTCAAACAGCATTGATATTGTTTATAAGTGAAATATGTTTATAAGTGAATTATAGTTCGGCAAAATCATGTTTCATATCCATATTTTGGCTTCACGTTCATTACTCATAATTTGCTAAGCAAATGACAGTGTTCCAGCTATACGATGCGTTCAAATGGATGTTTTCCAAAGTGGAATCACTGCTCTGAAAGTATTCTAACTTCAAATGAAATTTGTGGAGGTTTGTACCTTTGGTACAAAACCTTCATTTTTGGTCAAAAAATGGAATTTTTGGTGAAAAAATTGAAAACTTTGTATGGACATGTGTTTTATTTTCATCCAAATCGTTTGAAACTTCACCAGTAGCCAGTGTTTGAAGGAAAATGACGATTACCATCAATTTTTAGTCGATATGGTTGTGCGAAGATATTTTTATTTTAACTGAAAATGTCATTTTTCAATAAATTCGCATACTGACCTACCGAGCTCTTGCGGCACTATCTAGCATTGATCTATCGGCGTGAAACTTTAAACACGTTATTTGCATACTATAAGGAAAAGTATTCCGGGGTGAGAGCGAAAAAATTTCAACTTTTGTGTTTTGGGTGCCAGTCTAATCTACATACCTTATATGAAACTCTCGGTGACTCAATATAGAGCACATGAAGTGAAAAAAAAAAATACAATTTTTTTTCTCAATTCTTCAACACAACTTATCGGTCTATATCATCTGGTATGATTACTGATTATAACGTAAAAATTTGTCAACTCTGTCACTCAAATCGTTGTTCAATGCTATCTTGCATTTTATTCTCTTTATATCGTACACACAGTTTAGAGTAAGATTTTGTGCCTGCAGTCATGAGTGTGAAATATTTTTCGTATAATTTTTCATACGTCACCGTCGAATCGCGTCGATTATATACAAAATTCTGAGCGTTCGATTATATATCGCGTATATTAGCAACTAATATTACGAATTTTCGAATTTTAAGAACTCTGTTAATCTATATTCAAAATTGTTGTTTTTTTTCTAATGATGTAAATTATTTACTAATCAATGTATTAAGCTGGCAGAGATTGCAGGGTGAGTCGGACAATTTCAGTAAAATTAGACCAACCTAATAATTGGTTAAAATTTTGTTTTTTTTGGGTCATATTTTTGAATGATCGGACCCTATTTTCAGGTAAAGGTAAGTCCAGGAGCTCTTTGCTCGCTTTTGGCGGTCTATTCGACCTAATAATCAGCTAAACGAACAAAAAAATGTTTTATGTGTTAAAATTTTTGAAAAAATGATATTTTTGATCAAATTTCAAAAATGGACCTCACGAGGCACTAGACTGAGACTTCAATTATGTTAAACAAACGTCATATTCGTGAGTTTTACATATTTTTCCATAACTTATAACTATAGCCAGTATCTCATTCTGTATTTTCCAAAAATGGAACTACCCTAATATGAAAGGTCCACTTAATTTTGACGAATGAATTTGAATTCATATAGCTGAAGATCCCAGTAAGCTGAGATCTGTGTATGCATAAATATTTCAAATACATATTTGTATTCTTGTATATTTTTCCTGTATTATTACTCGTATAGCACGAATTTTGTAAATATTTTAAACCAGGTATCAATTTAACGATTTAAAACGTCTCACGTCTTTGATAATTTAACTAGAAAATTTGTGTCTTTTTATTCATCTGTTCCAATGTAATGATGCACATTCTATACATCCAATTGAAATGTAAATTGTTTCATTTCTTTTTTGTTATTTTATATTCTTTGTTTTCACTAAGCAAAAAAAGCAAGACGTTCAAAAATGTGCAATTTCGAATATCCAAACATAAACCGAAAAAAATACTGCAGATGATCTCTGAAAACTACAAACAACAAAATTAACGTTATATTCACATTCAGGTGTTTGTATCGGTTAAACCTAACCAAACAATTTTGCAATAGGATTTGAATTTGCTTTGTTGTTGGATTACTAGCTACAAACACATACACGCAACCAATCTATGGTTCTTCTAAATGTTTATCATTTGTCCTTTTTGTATATGCTTTATTCTATTTCTTTACTTTCTATTCATTTCTATTGAGTATTTTAAATACATCACACACTATTCATTATTTTTTTTTACAAGAACACTCATTGCAGAAAATGTATTTTTTTCTGTGTTAGCACTCAAAGAGCAACTGATATTATGTAAATGTTAAAAACCAGGTATCAATTTGACGAATTAAATATTGTTTCGATAATTCAACTTAAAAATATGTGTATTGGTTGCATATTTTTCATGGTATATATTATTTACCAATCAATGTATCTTGGACACGCACATTCTATACATCCAATTGAAATGGTAATCGTTTCATTTTTCTTTATTTTATATACTTTGTTTTTACTAAGTAAAAAAAGCCGTTCGTTAATGTAAATATACAATATTTAAAATGAAGTTGCTGATTTTTGATGAGGATGATTTATTTTATATTAATGTCATACACCAATGAAATTACGAAACTTGCATGAATGATAGTAAAAGTATAGTAGTAGTATAATTCGTGATATGAGCTCATGCTATTGTCACTTTAGATACATCGGCTATCAATTATCCATATTATGGTGTAGGAAATAAATGTCGAACTAAATGTTAACGAACGCTAATCCAACCATTCATATATTTGTTTATATCATTTTTTTAATAGTTCCAGTTTCGGTATTTCTTTCTTTTAAAACTTGCCAGCATTTCTGGTGTCAATTCAATACATTTCTACTTGAATATAGATTTTAACGTTCTACGTAAAATGATTGTGTGATTAAGAATTGTTTAATGTTTGAAGACTGATTTCTTCTTTCATCTGTTCATTTCTGATGGTTGCCGCTAATTTGAATTTTAAAACCATTAATTGATTGTTTAAGTCACAAAATTTGTCAGGTTATGGAAATTTGTCAGGTTATATGATGAAGTGAATGAGAGAAATGTTTAGTCCTGAATTAAAAAATATGAAACATTTTGAAGGTTATAAATGTTATAAACAAATGGAATTTTCTATGTGGAGTTGAAGAAACTCAAAACAATCTATTTTTTGTTCGCCTCATTTCTATACTTGAAATTTAATTTTTTTGCCATATCAAAATAAAAATAATGAATCCAGTTTGTCTTTTAGGCGGCGGACTTTTTACCGGCGATAATGCCATTTACAATAATCTTGATTTGATTATTACCTAAATTGAAAAAATATCATATAAATCAATTTTAACTGATTTTATATAAGTAGTGGAACAGTTTTGAAATCTTTTTCATAATGAAAAGTTCCCAACGGAATGTATCTCATGAATAACGTCATTTGTAGAAACAAATGTGTATATACGACATTTTTTGGAACTGCAACCTCTCACTTCTTTTGGGAACCTCCCATTATTATTCACTTGAAAAATAAAACATCAATCAATTGTGCTTGTCTACATATTAAATTGTGGCAATATAAATGAAAAATGCTCAAAAAAACTTAACTATTCTTTTTATCAAAAGTGTTTCTATTTATCACTCACAAGTCTCAATCAAATAATAATGATTGTATATCACTCACCTGAATATAATGAATGTTGGCTTTTTTGTAACAGATAATGTTTTTCACACAAAAATTTATTATCGTCCACTATATATAATTGATCCCCAGTGCTAATTTCACCCCGGCATACACAACAAGTGAGACACAGTAAATGAAACGCTTTATTGTCTCGCGATTTTCGGATTAATTCCGACGGTGAGATTCCTTGATTGCAACCGCCGCATTTTGTGCCATATCGCCTGCACATGAGTCATTTAAAAAAAATCAGGATTTTAGAATTAGTGACCGATGCATCTATGACGATGTGTCTTTAAATGGAATAGTTGTTGGCATTTAAAATTTTAAATGATGAACATAGATTTATATACCTAAAAAAATCTTTTTTACAGAATAATTTTCCATCTCGGCTAAAACACTTATCGATCAAAGATCCATTACATTCACTACAACGAACACAATGCTGGTGCCATCGACGTTCACACACATTTAGAAGGAATTTTTCTAAAATGGGCTGACTACAACCGGCACAATGGTCACCAACACCAACTGATGACTCTACATGACCTGTAAAAATATAAAAAATGTCAGTCACAGAAAATGAAATTGTTACATAATGACATAATATACATATACTTGTATTGTACTTGATTGCACAGTATATACAAAACGCTCATTCATCTTTACAGCTTCTCAATCAAATTTATGTGCAAATTATTGGAAGGCGCATTTGATCAACAAAATTTTAACTGGAAGTGTACAACACGTTCATATATATTTTGTAAAACGTTTATTGATTATATGACAAAAACAGTTAGGTTAGTGGCATCTTTGTAAATTTATATTTTGTATTCATGTCAGCTCTGTACTACATGCAAAGTTATGCAATATGCATCAAGGTATAAATGTGGACTTCGAAATGAGCATACTTGTGTTGATTGTTCTCAGTTGCAATTGACTGTGTACTTTTTGAATCAATGTTATCAACATCGACACAGACACTAAGAGAATGTTGAGCGATATAATATGCCAATTCATAAGTGACGTTTTTTGTCTATTATTGGATTATCTGGACATATAATTTACACACACACACACACACACACACACACGAGATTATGAAAATCGATCGATAAAAAGCTGAAAGTATCTTTAATACGAGTATAGATCAAAAGCCTTTTTGAGTTATAATGCGTTATTGAATATCAATTAGGAAAAAACTAAAAGTGTATTATAGTTTTAATCGTTTTCCTGTTTTAGTTTAAATATTGATGTTTAAAATTCTTGAACGCCCAGAAAATTTTATGTGATATTATATTATAATTATTTGTTTCGAATGAAATAAAGAACTATTCTTCTATTTCTTTTAGAATATTTCACAAATATCGTTTATCTTAAAATATTTCACGCTGAAATCAAATTAAAACGTATTACGAACTGTCTAAACTAGCCTGTGCTAGTCACTTTTTGAGAAATTGTGAACACTCAAAATATTTTTTCTTTGAATTTGATGTCATTTTTGTATTCGAAAATTAAAAGAGTATATTATTATTACTATTATTTAATTAATAATTGTAAATAGTTAATTAGAAATCAATGCAAATAGTTTGATTGCAATAAGAAATAATTTAGAAGAAATCATGCCATACATGACATTTATTAACTGTACAAAGAATAGATGTTAGAAAACCTAAGTTGAAATGACTAATAGAAAATATATTGTTGAAAATAACAGAAAGAAGTATCTGAATGTTTGACTGAATAAACGCAAAATTGAATTTGCAAGGAAATCATTTCAACGGAAGCTGTTCACAGATTCCAGATTATTAATACGTATATATTATATACGATGAAGTGGGCCGGCCGCTTGTAAATGTATCTCGAAGGCAAAAGGACAAAAAATAATTTACCATGATCACATATATTTTCATTCACAGTATTCGAAAATTTACCATCGTAGCATTAGAAAAAAAAACTTGAACTGCAAATGAGTTCCCTTGAGTTATATTCACAAGTAATTTTTTAAATTCAACTTTAAGGATAACCTTCAAAAGCTATATATTATATAGTTTTGTGTTACAAAAATTAATTTAAAGTTGTGGAATCTGTATCATTGACAAGAAAAAAACGATAATACATTTATACGCTTGAAATATTCTTTTCTTCAATTTGAATGTTTGAACTATACACTTTGATGTGATATATATTTATATATAGAATAGCTTTAACAGTTTCTGAACATTACATTTTGATTATTATTTGTCGAAGTATATTTCTAATTGGAACCTTTAAATTACCAAAATCAACAAAATTCATAGCTTTTATGGTAAAACATTAAGTTTTTAAATTACTTGTGATGACATTACTTCGCATTCATCAAAAATATATTTGAATAATGATTTCTTGTTTCCACGAAATTGGATTATAGGTTTTTTTTAATTTTTTGAAAGTTTATAATAATTATTATATAATTATAATCACTCATCAGTTGTTCGTTGATTTCTGCAGGTCCAAACAACAATGAAAACTATATTGATATATACGTTGTATCACTGACTATTATAAATATGATCGTCGCTAGGGGGCAGACACCTATGAATCCAGTGTGAATTATTTGATTTCTATGAAATCTTTAATTCTTGCGATTTCGGTGATTTCTCGATTCCAAACCTCAATATTGGACATAAAATACACTTATATACAAAGCTAATTTCACTGTGGTAGTGTGCGCCTATAGTAGAAGTCGTACACATAGTGTGTGTGAGGTACAATATACACAACATTTGACAGAAATCAAAGAAATCACAAAAATTGAATTCTGCGATTTCTGTGATTTTAATGATTTTAATGATTTTTGTGATTTCTGTGAGTTTTGATTCCACGTGTCTACCCCCTAGGATCGTCGACGTTGTTTATTCATTTTAAAATCAACAATACTCAAATTCGTTGCTCTTTTAGGCTATCCTTTAACAAATTGAACAATTTATATGCCATATTTGTTTGTTATTTCGATATGAAGTGTAGAACCTACCAATGTTGTGTTGAGTATGTTGCAGAACTGAGCCAAACGCCATTACGTCTTTTGCAGTAGTCCGGTTCAGTGATGGCGAGTATCGTTCCCCCAAATATGACGCCAGTGCGACAACTCTGGGGGGAACTTTGGTGATTTCGGTCAAAATTGTTATAGTTTTTGTTTTAAAACAAATCGGAAAAATATCCACTTTTGTTTTATACACTTTTTGTTCACAAACACGTTTGGTTATATCACCCCAAAATGAAATATCGCTGAAAAAGTAAAATATTCCACAATTGATATCAAATATATCCACCAAAGTTATCCAATCATATTTCGCGACGGTATGACTTTTAAACAAACCAGGTTAACTTTTGTGTTCGTTAAATATCCAACAGATATGAATTACTTGAACCGACGTCGATGATATACAACCGTTGACTGATTCTTCGCATTCTGTTTAACATTTAACCAGCCCATATCGCCGAATATACTACCAGCACAAAACAACCAAACTTACACAAGCATAATACATACGTGTTAGTCAAATAACTGAAGCATATACACGTATAAACAGTAGTAAATTATGATTCTAGAATACTGTTCTTGTGGCTCATGTAAACAATTCATTGAGAATGTGTGCAGAGAATCAATGTATACATCGTGTGTCGAAGGCGTTTTCAGTAGCGCGTTCAGCAACAATGCCCCGTTTATTCTTCATTGATCGTATGCATAAACTCACACAGAGGCATATTAGCTGCAGGCCAATCATAGCACACTCACGTCGGTATTGCAAACGTAGTGTATACGCCCATTTTCCTTCGATTATTTTGGCACGAGGTGTGACTCTGTGAAAATCACTACTGAGATTTTAATACTTCATTCATAGGCTGCTGTCACTGACTGTGTCCTTTTCCTTTGTATTTTCTTCTACTTTTTTATTCGTAGAAGGTAGCTAATGTCTAAAGGTGTGTCAATACATTTGTGTAACTGTGCACATTAAACTAGCAAAAAAAATTCTTATGGCCTACACTCACCTTTCATGACACATTGAATTTGGCTAGTTGTTTTGTATTTAATCTAAAGAAATTCGTATAAGAACCGGTTTACTGTATTTATTTCTGTTTTTTTAGCAGTACATACTTACGATTAGAAATAAATATTTTTGTGTATAATATTGTCATTACGTTTTTTGGTGATTAAGTTTTTTTACATTGCAAGATAGGAAATTGATTTTAAGCTATGATTAGTTATGAGAACTGATGTTACGCATCTTTCATACCATTTGTGACTATAGTGATATAGTTGTATTTTGTCGTTCAAACATTATATTTTCTAATTTTTTGTATTTATCATATTTTCCCAACATTTCTAATTATATCATTGACGAGTCTAATTATACAATAGCATTTAGATAAGAGGCAAACAACACAAAACTTGGAAGAAATATGTTACAGAATCTCTGGTTAACTGATACATACATGGATGGTTACATATAATTATGAAGAAAAATAAAACGAAATGAAGCCAACAACACTGTTTGTGTTTTCAAGATTTACAAGATTTATACACGTTATTTTTACAAATTGTGCGGTTAATGTGCAATTTCACAATTTTTATCTCGGGAGTTGCTTCTGTCAAACAATTACCTAAGCTTCCATAGTTATTTTGTGGTTTCATTGTAGTTATTTGATATATGCCGCTAAATGTAAAAGTTTGGATTATAGTTCACTGTTCATAAAAACAATATAAATTGATTGATCTTGCAGAATCAATTAATAAAATAATAAATATGTTAAGCTGAATTAACCATTGTTTGGGATTTGATGATTTTTGTTTTTTCCCATCTCGCCATGGGATTTGGTTGGTGGCTTTTCCATACTGTTCAATTGCGTTGGTTGTGGAAATTGTATACCAGGTGGCGTTTATATGATAAAACCAACCAAAGTTGAAACCCTCTATACTTCTTATTACATTAAGTGGTGAAATTTGTTTACAACAATATTTCAAAATCAAATAATGAAATATGAAAATTCACATCATTTATTGGGGTACTCATTTAAAACATACATTTTTTATTATTTTTACATCCGTATTAACAATGTAGAGTATACATTTTCTACAATACATTAAAGATTATTCAAAAATTCAAAATCAGAGTCAAAATGCCACTGAAAACATTATCTGAAGTTGGTGAATGAATTTCTATTAAAAATATTTGTTATGTTAAAAGTCCAATAGACACACACCACATTCTCAATAAAAATTACCATAAATATTCTATTCAATTTTTGGCATTTGGATACATTTTATGGTGGTTTTAATATATTTGCTAGCCAAAATTGAATAGTTTACAAATTTTGTAGATAACATGGGAAAAAATATGTAATTTACATGGTAGTAATCCATACATGGTACCAACCCTGATTTTCCCTGATGATCAGGAATGAGATTTTATACGAACAATCCGAACAACGAACGAAGAAGCCAAACATTTAATTTTCTACGAACGAATGAACTAAATTTGTCTACCGTTATTAAAATGGGTCAATATTGTGGGACATTTTTCATGGAACACGATGAAAGCAAGAAAAATTGGTATCATCATTCAAATATTTCAAAAATATCAAAAATGGCGTCCAAACTGTATTGGACTGAGCAGCAAAAAAATCGACCCGAGCCAGCACGAATCAAAATGAAATGTTTTGAAAATTTGTTAGAATAAACAAGTAGAAGCTCGCTTCGCTCGCTCATAATATTGATCATTTTATGTTTTTGTTTAGTTTTTAGTTTTGTTTTTAACAAAAAAATTTAGTTAGCGCTACATGAAATGTAGAGCTATTGTATTTTTTTGTATTTTTTAGTGTATATTATTTTTATAGATTTTAATGATGATAGAATAAATCACACATATAAAAATATTCAGATAATATATTGAACTAACTGGTCAGCTGAGCTGACAGCACGTTAGGTAGTAAATGGGCTAAAAATAGAAGTTATTGTTATAATGATCTATCACTTCTATTAAAACAATAAAAATGATTCATTATTATAGCAATAGCTTTTATTTGTTTTAGCCCATTTAGCTGGCTAACGTACTATCAATATATTGTCTGATAATAATAAAAATGGATAATGGCTGAATCAAAACACACTCTTTTTATATTCAATAGATTTGACTAACAACGTTATATACACACAGTGTAAAATGTCGAAGTCACAGCATTGTTGTTGTAGTGTGGGTAATTCGACGTTTCACACTGTGTGTATAAACGCCAGTGTTAATGGACGAAATACACAACAAACATTTGTGTTTACACTGTTTAATTTCTCTGAGATGTTAGACCACAATGTCCGACCTCAATAACCATATTTACCAATCAAAACATGTTCAAAGAGTTTAAAATGGGCCAAGAATCTTCCAACGCTTTTTTTTCACCACGGTTTTATCCATCATGGTTAACACGGCTTACCACAGTCCATTCTCTTCTTTCGACAATAAAATGTACAAAATACAGTCAAAATATGGTTGCAGATGGCCAACCATAATGGTGCCTGAAACCACCCCCGGGCCAAGACCTGTCCAACGGTACCACTTTTACCCAGATCAGTTGAGGCGTTCAGCCGCTAACCCGGAAACACACACTCAAACGTTCGCTCTACTTTTCTTTTCTGTCAAATGGTGTCAGACCATGATGGACCATGATGACCGACCCAATTACCGTGTTAAATGGTGGTAGACCATGATGGCCGACCTCAATAACCGTGTTAAATGGTGTTAGACTATGATGGCCGTGTTAAATGGTGTTAGACTACGATGGACCATGATGTCCGACCTCAATCGCATTTATTAAAAGACATATTGTAATCTACCGCGAACCATGAGTAAAACCAACTTCAAATAAAATGTCTTACATCCTTAAGATGAACTTTTCCGCACTGTGATCCACAACATGCATTTATTAAAAATCCTTTACTCAAAGAATTTTCGAGAAAACTGAATCTGACATTAGTTTTACGATAAAAATGGGAATATTTGTATCGCAGCCATGCCTATATGATATCGTCACTTTTTCACAAAAAGTTAACATTCTGAAAATTTGAAGAAATTTCAATACATATTAAGGGTACTTCCCATACAAAATTTCGTTTTTGAGCGAAAAATTCAAAACTTTGTTCGGGAGATACCCCTAATATGCGTTGAAATGTCTTCAAACTCTCGGAATGGTATTTTTTTGTGATAAAAATAACCTGTGCAAAGTTTCAGCTCATTACGATATATCATACAGGCATGGCTTTCATACAAAAATCCAAAATTTTTGACATTTTTGTATGAAAAGTGTGTCTAAAGTTATTTGTATCGCAAAAATAACGTCATTTCGGTTTTCTCGTACCCAAAAACCCCCCAATACACATTTTTGAGTGTTTAAGAATACATTAAATATCACTTTTGGAAGAAAAATTGAATTTTTCCCATGGATGGACATGGGCATCACACCAGACATGACACTTTACCCTGTCAACCAAAGTCGCTCAAAATCTAATGGTTTCTATTCCTCGGCACCCCCAATCATCCTGTGAAGTCAGATTTTGAATTACTTTTCTTGTTTGAAAGTTATCGTGTTAACAAATTTTTGCGTACAGTGTACAGCGTACAGCGTACGGGTACCACACACATACATTCGGACATCGAAAAAACGCTAGATTCGTGTTCCCTGGAACAAACATGTTTTTTGAGGGTGTTAATTTTTCGACCGAATTCAATACTTTACCTTACACACTAGGTGTGTGCGGAAAAGTAAAATACCACATCCCCCTAATTTTGGGTCAAGGAATCCGAATTTGGCAATAAGATTTGTCAAATTCAACATTTTAACCCACTTTTTAATAGGAAGACCAAGATGGACTGGTCCAATGTGGTCCAAAATGGATGTCAGCCGATATTAAACACATCAACATTCACTGTTAAAATTTCGTTGAAATCGGCCAACACGTTTCGGACTTTTGGTGACTGGAAAAAAACAAACAAATCCAATAGCTCTACATTTCATGTAGCGCTAAAAACTTAATGTTCATGACCCAGTATTACTACCCACCTACCTAGCTCACATATCAACCATAAAATAATATTTATTCGAATTTATTTTTGACTTTATTCAGAGAGATTTGGAGAGATACTTATTTTTGGGGAACATCGACCACCCATACCATCATATTTGAATAGCGTCTTAACATTTATAAAGAATCCAGCATAGAATTTTTAATCTATTATCAAGCAATATTCACAGTTTTCTAATATATTTTTATTTGATTGAAAATTTCCAAAAGAAGTCATAAGAAAAGCATGAAATACTGCCTAAAATGGATAAAAAAAAATTTCACATATAGTTGGTGCTGCATGTTACGTAAAAATTTTTTTTTATCATTTCAGGTAGTAATCTTATCGCTTCTTTAACTTTGTCAATGCAAATTAAAGAGTCTTACAAGAGTAAGCGAACTTTTCCACATGGTGGTAGATGCGTATTTTATTAAGCTAGTTCTAAACAGAGCTGGACGCTAAGGTGGGCCATTTGATCCATTTTTAAGGAATGTACCATGGACATGCTGTTTATGATATCTCTATATATCTTACCTCAATACAGTTCTACGACTTTGACCCCGGACGAAAATTTTCATATTCCATGGGTCATGGCTCTGATGAGCCTGTGAATCGTTAGTTTATAGGGTCTAGATGCCATCGGATCGTATTACGTCGGAATAGTCCTTGTTAAGAACTTTTTTCAGGGTAAATACCATCCAGATCGAAGAATTCGGAAAATTCGGACTCTTTTCGCTTTTTTTTTTCGAAAAATCGGGAAAACCCATACTTTAACTAAAAATAAGTCAATCAAGCGTGAGGCCACTACACCCCAGGACCATACAAACACTTTGGAAGTTACAGATTTTCCAAAGTTTTCCTTCTTTATACAAAAGTGATATTTTCAGCGAAGGGTCCAGATTGGATCGAAAACTGTAGATGGATAGACCATCCGATCAACAATGCAAATACCACATTTCCCACCTAATTTTCAACGAGGAATCGAATAGAAGTGGCCTCGCGTGATTTGACAACATTTAAGGATCCAAAAATGGCCAGGCACTCAGTGGAATCACATTAGTTTTGCTCTGAAATTATTCTAGCTTTAAATGAGATTAATTTGTGGAGGTTTGTCGTACCTTTGGTACAAAACCTTAATTTTTGGTCAGACAATTGGAATTTTTGGTCAACAAAATGAAAATTTTGGTCAAAATATGATTTTGGTCAATTTTGCATGGAAATGTGTTTTATTTTTATCCAAATCGTTTGAAACTTCACCAGTGGCAAGTGTTTGATAGAAAATGACAATTACCATCAATGTTTAGTCGATATGGTTGTGCGAAGATATTTTTATTTTAACTGAAAATGTCATTTTTCAATAAATTCACATAATGATCTACCGAGCTCTTGCGGCACTATCTAGCGTTGAGCTATCGGCATGAAACTTTACACACGTTATTGAATATATAACATATTACGGTGTGAAATAGGGTGGATGAACTCAGCCATAGACTAGTGGTTAGCGTGCCAGGTTTGTGAGCGTGAGGACACGAGTTCGATTCTCGGTCAAATTTGGTCCGGTATTTTTCCACCGTGATTCGCTCAGGAATCGTCAGTGGTTTAATGCGGAATAGATTTGGCCGGGTTTCGGGCTAGTGGGGTGCTTCGGAAGTGCACTTAAAGCCGTCGGTCTCGTGTGTGTGCATAACGAAGAATGGACTCAGCATAGACACACGTAAAATGGAGTGCCTTCACGTCAGGTTGTTGTATTTAATATGTGAGAGATTGCAAATACAACAACCGTTAAAAGGTAGGAATGGAATTCTTGTGACTGTCATGACAATTGACTTGAGAAGAAAGCCCTGGTCACTGGCCCTGTACGGAGGCTAGTTACATGGCTGCTATAAAGTGGGCCATACCGTGGGAAGCATTCTCCAAGCAATCGAGTGACAGCACAAGACGGGTCGTCATGCAATAAGTTACAAAACTTGAGCATCGAGTGAATAACTCCCCGTTTAATCCAATAATCCAATAATTCAGGGTGGATGAATTTTTCTCGATTTGGAAATTTTGAAATTCGAATTTGTTGACTATTGAAATTCTTTAAATTTTCTAGTTTTTACAGATTTTTCTTCTGGATTAGTAAATCTTTATAATTTGGCTATTTGATAGTTTATAAAGACTAAAATGGTCTTAATCGATGAAATAAGATCAATTTGAGCGTAGAAATGTGAAAAATAAACCAAAATTGTTATTACTAAAAATCACATTTTTTTCGATTTTTTTGAAAAAGTTCTCTTCACTCTCGTTCAAGTCGCCACCCTATATGACATATAACCCCATCAAAAAATGGCTGTTTTGGAATCAGCTCATGCTTATACAACTACTCTGGGCTGTAGGCTTTGATACTTAAATTTTTTCGAAAAAGTCATCCACCCTAGCAACCATATGGAAAAGTAATACGGGGTGAGAGCGAAAAAATTTCAACTTTTGTGTTTTGAGGGACAGTCTAATAATAAAATTATCGAAAATCATAAAAACAAATCAACCATAATGCATTGGAAAATATGCTTGTTATGACACTGGTTTTTTTCACTGTATATTGTATACATTATAACATATATTATAAAATATGTATAGACTTTTTTATAGATCCTAGATTTAGAGACCACAATCAAAACTTTCTCCCCATTCACTATATCTTGAGTCTTGCTTTTGAATTCTTTGTTGACATGCTTCAATGTAATCATCTTGAATCCGATACATGCCTGAATTTGCTTGGTACATGAGTGTTTCTAATATACGTTCGTTTCTAATGGCTTTTGATGGCAAAACAACTTTGATGAGTTCTTGTGGGGAAATCCGATGTAGTTTTAAATCACGTGTCAAGCGTTCCATTATACAACGAAATTCCACTTTGACATCAGTTTTAGTTGAGACTTTTTGTTTAACCTTATTTTTTGCCCACGCAAGCATAGCTTCAAATTTGCGAACTTCAGGTACTTCTAAATTTCGACACATCATCATTTGAACCATACTTTCACTAAGATTAAGAAAGTCTGGCAAATGGAATAATGCATGCGCTTTGCTTTCAACAAATGCCAAAATCATGTTCACCAATTCTGAAGCAGATGTATATCGCCAGTAATAATTCTCCAATGATATCAGCATACAACATACAACATCGATACGCAGAAATTGTTTTGCATGATGAAAACAAGCTTGAAGGAGTTCAGGTAAGTCATAATGTTCAGCTGCGCAAATTAAACCTATTTCCAAGGATTCAAAAAGATATTTTTTGATCAAAATAATTTATTAAATAATTGAATTTTAAACTCCATAGTACCTGGAATTGAAACACAAGTCAATGGGCAGCTCCCGGTATGCAAATAGTCTAAAAGTACGCGAAATGTATCTGGATCAAATTCGATAATGCTAAATTCAGTTTGTGCCAGTTTTGCGCGATCTACCTTCTGTGCGTCTGCACAAACAGATAAACGTGGCACAGCTAATTGATTCGTGGACTGCTGTTTCTCTTTGTTATCTTTGTCTTGAAAATTTTCATTAAATTAGAAATAAAGTTGTAATAACACATATTAATACAAGCCACAGAGAAAATGTTTACTTGAACAATCTTGCATCGATGTAAATTTCTTCTTATCATCAGCATGTAGTGTTGAATTTTGTCGACTTCTAATTGAACGTCCCCAGCCAGCTGTTATCGTACCCAAACGAGAGAAGGCACGTTTTACCATTGGTGATGATGGCACGCTCTTAGGTCTGGGCGATTCTTATTCATGAAAAAAAAAAACAGAATTTTTGAAACCAAGGTAATGGCTTATTTCGACGGTAACTTTGAAGTTCATGTGACTTACCAATATCAGGAACTTGAAGAAAATTTGAGCTTTTTGGTCGTTGACATTGTGATTGTGGTGACATAAGCGTAGGTGCGGGACGTGCCAATAACTCAGCAACTGGAACTTGTGGTGAACCGAATCCAGTTTGAATACCATAGAGCATTTCCTATTTATAATTAAAAAAGAATTAGAAGCAACTAATTTTGGACGTCAACAAATATAATCTGAAAATAGATGATTTATTGATTTCAATAAGTTGATATAAAAATTGGTATTTTAGATAATAAGTGGTACGTAGCGAATCATGTTAAACGAATTTGACTGTTCTTCGTATTCTTTTAACCCTCCTAGGTATAAGGTTAAAAAAAACTTGAACGGATAGAGTGAAAATAAATAATTTATGACAAAATTAATTGAAATCTGATGATGCAGTTTCATACGGACGCTTTTTGGTGCAGTTCGTACACATCACAATTTTTTCGGAATGTTCACCACAAACATTTTTCATACATTTGCTGCACTGTGTTCGTGTCTTTCGATTGATTTTAGTGGGAAATAAATGACATGCAATTTTTTTATCTTGTTTGGTTTGCGTTGTTGAAGATGACGGTGCTGTTGAACTGTGCTGAGTACAGCTCGATGTGCTTTATTAAATTCATAAGTGGATCTGCGTGCTATTTGATCATACACCAATGCATCTGATAATTCGATCAAAAATGTCTTGCGTTGGAATGAATATCGATCTCGTGTAATTCCATGTGTTGCATTATAAACAATGAACGCAGCGAGTCCACATTGTGGAGTCCACATTGTGGAGTCCACATACATTGATCAAGTTCATGAAGAAAGGCCAACGATTTCTGCCTCGTTGACATGAATAGCTGTGACACAGTTGATCTAACTGATCAACGCCACCTTTTGTGCTGTTATAAAATGTGTTGATTTCATCTTCAGAAACCACACTTTTGATCGACAGCGAACGAATCATGTCTGTGTGTCTTAGCTTATATACACATATACACACTTTCTTTCTTTTTTATTCTTTGCTACATTGCTGAATCTTCTCTATATGCACCGTTTTATAACGCAAAATTCAGAATTTGACAGTTTTGACACTGTTGACAGTTTTGAATTGTTTTATTTTTTAATGTTTATATGAGGTTTTCATACATTTTGTATGGGCCACTATACGTTCTAGGTGAATGAATTATAAACTTCTATACGAATAATCTGCAAGAGAAATTTTGATTTTTTTTTAATTAACTAAGATTTTTATTCAATTTTTTCAAAAATTTCGGTCCTCTATAACTAGGAGGGTTAAAAGGGATTAAATTCCAATGAGCGCTAATATCGTAGATTTTTCTTTATCGATTCCACCAATACGACATCTACTAAAAATCTTGCCGATTTCTGTGTATTACAAATTCTGCGCTCAGTCGTCAATCGTAGCTGCTTGTGCAAAATTTACAATACATACGCATACACAGGATCGGAGTCTGTGTGTTCTTTTGTATTAGTTCGTCTGTAATACAGCCATAGCCGTATAGTTCGCTCGAGCTGTGTCAAAGCAACAGAAGTAACAAAAATCGGTATCATTTTTAACATCTGTCGTATTCGTAGAATCGATAAAAAATAATTTGTATGGGGAATATACGATACTAGTTCCCATCGTTAAATTGAAATATAGAGAAAAAATCCCAGAATATTAAAAAATGCTTGAAATAATTTTTTTTGAATTCTTTTTGTAAATTGTCATTTCACGAAGCAAAACATACAATGCAAAACAGAATTTTTACAGCAGTGACAATTTTATATTTTTCAACCCCACCATATCCTCCAAAGGGTTTTTCGCAGGCTCTCATGTATATAAGTTCTACTCTATCCCTTCTGGTTTTCTATATAAAAGTCGTTGAGAGACAAACTTATAGAAATTATATTTTGATTTTCTTCTGATATTTTGCAACTTTTGAAAACTATCAAAATCAGCCGGATGTTTTCAAATTTTCAAGGAGAATTATTCCGCTTTTAAACTTAAGATCGAATTTTTATTTCAGCTCATTCATATATTTTTTACTCTTTGTACTGCTCTAAGACACAATATAACTCTAAGACACAATATAAAACAACAAAACTACCAAAAACATTTAAAAAATTTAAAATTCCGTCACAATGTGGTTTTTTACAAACTTTTCCACAAATTTTTCCGAAACGAGTAAACAAAACAAACTTATCAAAAAAAAATTTACAAATGCTGTATAGTCTTTGTACTTATATCACATGTTTTATTGTAATTGTATCACTATTTATTTAAATTCAAATCTGATTACTTGAAAAACTCGACTTCGAACACCCAAAATGGCACGAACTCCAATAAATCGGGCCTTTTGTTTTGATTGTCCAACCAAAAATACAACATCGAATAGGTGGGCATTCTGTAGACATGGCTCCATATTAAGAAAAACGCGAGTAAAGTCTTTCGCTAGTTGATCATAGTCTTCAAACTGATCACGTACTGAATCCAATAATGGACTTGATGGACGCATATGACCTATAAATAGAAGCGATTTTTTACATTTTATTCTAATTTACAGTTTGTTTACATTCTGTCAAATAAGTTATTAATACGAGAATAATATGCAAAAATATTATAACGAATTGATATTCTGTTCTTTTTCAGCAACATTTGTTGTTCAATTGAGAAAAAATATCAAAACCTAAAAAAAGAAAATAAACCTACCAATTGGTCTCCATGAACCTCTACGATATGGCTTGGGAATTTGACCTGTTTCTGCATGATTTGCCAGATTGGCAACAATATCTTCAAGCATTTGTGAACGTGTCCTCTCTTGCATGCGTGCAAATTTTGGCGCTGAATATGAAGCGCGCTCTCCATTCACTATCTTAGTTAAAATCCATTCTCTACGAATAAATTTGGTGTGAAATTAAATGAAATACACGTACGTACAGATCCAATTATACCTAAACATTGGACCTTTTTCAAAAACTGATTGCTCCCATAAGTATGGTTTGTATGCCCCGACTTCGTCTCGAGTAACTACTGATACTTCATAGCGGGTGGGTTTGCGTTTTATACGGGCAGACACTCGTACCTGTTGCATGTCAAATGTCATTTTTATCTGTGATGAGTGGGATGCGAGGGGTCTTACCAATATGAATGTGTGTAAAAAATGGCTTTTTATGCAAGCTGGACTAAATGGTGTTTGATCTGCCTCAACGAAAATATACATATTATATTTTAAATTGTTTTTAGAGAAAATGGATTTTAGGTGAGCTTGATTACCTGCCTCAAGGAATACCAACATAACAATATCGTTACCTAGACGTTAAAAAAAATCAATAATAATTCTTAACTTTTCCAATCAATTTCACACAAGAAATTTACATAAAAAAGAAAACATTTCTGTGGAATAAATTATATCATATGTCCGAATTATGAATGAATTACAGCAAACGGCAGTTCGCGCGAGTGACGAAACCTCACCTCTAGATGTTTTCATGACATTTCACCGATTTCAGAAAAGAATTTATTAACATATGTATCATAAACATTGGCACAAATTGAGACTTTCGCCATTTGAACAACAAACACACATTAATTATTATACACATATCTTTTTTATTGGTATAAACTTTTATTCATAGGCTATCGAATAGCAGATTCACTTTACACTTAATAGACCTTTGTCTTCGATTTTGGAAGTTTGTATCTAACCTTCAAAATCATGCTCTGGACAACCGATTTGTCGATTTCTTTCAACTTTCTCTCAATCCATCCAACCAATTGTTACTCGTTTCAAGTATTTTGGACCTTCGTCTATAACATACATCCAAAAACAGACTAGAAATAATTAATTTGGTGTCTTTTTGTGAAGTTTAAAAGATGGTCCTTTTTTCATGGAAATGAAATTTTTTAAGAAGTGAGCCATTATTGTGTATTTTTCTGCTTGCAAAACACAATTTTGACCTTAATCAGATAGTTCTCAACGAATCCTATCGATTTCAACAAAAATTGGTTGATAATGGAGCAAGTAATGGAGGTTTAACCTTACATTTCAGCACTAAATTTTCGAATAATGGCTCTAAAACACCTTCCTACCATACAAACACCCCTTATATAGTAGTGCTCTAACATAATCAATGCAAAAGAAACCACTTGCACTTGATTCGTGGTTTGATTTGGCGATGAATGTTTCACTGTCCAAAATGATGAATTTTTTAGTGCAACATGCTATGAGGCGAAGTGAACAGCTAATTTTTGACAACCTTTGCAATTTTTTCGTAACTTATTTTGCTGATTCCTAATGATCGTGTCTAAATCTATTGTTTTGGTTCAGATTTGGATGTGTTGTAACCATAAGAATCACCAAAAATGAATTTTTGTTTGACCAACCCGGTTTTCGGTACTTGATGAAAATTTTGAAGGGTTTGAGCATTTAAATTGGGAATATGACCGTACTTTTCGCATTCTCTAGAATCCTCATCTTCACACTAAGTCAATAAAATACGATACATGGTTCGAAGACAGATTGGATCATCTTTAGACACATGCAGAATTTCGTTTGTACTTAGCTGTCCAAAGCAGTTTGCGACAGACTTTCGTAAATCCAATTTGTACGCCACCGCGAATGAATGTATTACGTCGGATTGAGTTTGACAGTAGTCTCGAGGTACCGATAAATGCACTACGTGCGTTGGTTGACATTTTTGTGTTTGTTATTGCGTTCTAATAAATGTCTCAGTTTGTGCCAATGTTTATGATACATATGTTATTTGAAAACAAGTGAATGTCAATTTTGGTGATCTATTTTATATTCGTAGTTGAGTTGAAAACATTCTTTCACATCGGCCAGTAACAATGCACAGGCCAAAACGCCTCCAAACAACATTGATGAGAACAGAATTATAGTGCGGATAAATCATGTTTCATATTCATATTTTGGCCACCCATATATTGTACAAAATCTGCTATGCAAATGTCAGTGTTTAAGCTATACGAAGCCATTCAAATGAGTACTACATGGGCTGATAAGTTCTTAGAATCGGACACTAGATGGCGACACAAGTAAATATCCATCTCATTTTTAGGAAGAGCCATCCTTTTTAGGAATGCCAACGGAATTTGAGCCAAATCTGTTCTTGGAATCAGAGGTTATACCACAAGAAGGAACATTACCCTCAAAATCGTACCAAATTTTTCATTTCTTGTCTATATTTCAAAGGCCGGGCTGGATGCAAATCTATTTCTCTTTCCAGGGGATAGATAAAGGTCCCACCAGCTTACACCAGAAATATAAAGTTCATACGTTTTCAACTTGGTGGAATTTCGTCACCGTGTGTATGGCTTCCCGATGCGGTTTTTGATAACAATTTTAAAGTGTACATTTTCTTGAAAAAAAAAAAAACAGTATTTTTTCGATTCAAAAAGTATTGTACGGAATTCTTGGGATCTAGTCTAGATTATTCACGCGAATAGTGCAGTCTTTCATGCCAACATCTTGGATTTATTGAAACATCTCTTCAAAAACTACAATTTTAGAGGCAATAATTACTTCGGTCTGTACGACGACATGCAAACTCAATAGACTACTTCTAAATGGCCCTAATCGATAGTAGACAGTCCAAACAATACCATCTAGCTGGGTTTTGGTTTCACTGATAGGTATAAGAAACAATAATAATAATAATAATAATAATAACTGCACCGAACAGCGTTCCTTCGCCTTGGTGG